GATAAATGAATTTATTTAAATCAAGAGCTTCATTTGTTGTTTTTATAATTTTTACCAATATTTAGTTTTTTATATCGGTGAGTAGTGTGATATTCTTATTAAGATAGTGTAACTCACCCTTTCATTAATTATTTCATATCAATATGACCAAGACCCAGATCTCGATCAACAAGAGGGTTGTGAATAATTCACCACCCGGATTTCTTTCAAAAGCTAGTAAAAATCGTTCTAGAATTTTCAGCATTTTGCATTTTATTTATTTCTTTGATTTCGTTCGTTATTTTAAAAAAGACATTTTTGTAACCCTATTGGGTATCCAAAATTATTGTGTAAGAAATGTAAACCCTGAACTCTATTATTTTACTTCTGCATTCAATTTATGGCTTTATTTGTTTTTAAGTTCTGAGTTTTTACAATTTGTGAACGAGTAAAATTATATGAATACGAATCTAATACGATATGATAATATTTATAAATGAGAATAATATGTACGGTACCTATATATAAATAAGTTAGAATGGGTAATGAAAAAGATGTGGTTTTTAATTATTTCTTTTGTTATATTTGCGATAATGATGATGAGTAAGGTTGTCTTGCAAATTGGATTTCTATGAATATAAAATTTGCATTGGTTTTATCAAGTCTGTATGAATGTGTGTTTGCATATATCTGTTTTAAACACTACTTTATTCTTATTGAGTCCGTGAAGCTCGCCCCAATTAACATCTCCCCAGTGCAGATTAGTTCAGGCCATGAGGGAGTTCAAGATCAAAGAAAGACTTTGAAGAATCTTTTAGCTACTTTAGACGTTTATTGTAAAGTAAATCTGAGTGTATTATTATTATGAGATTTCGAAAGATTGTTGTAAGCTTCAATAATTATAATTCCGTAAAAGAAATATATTATTGATTTATGGAGATCAACATAATATTGCGCAAAAATTCATCAAGTCCACATGTGAGGTGACGTTCTTTTCTCTCCAGAGAATTCGGATCATCACATCGTATCACATAATCTATTATGCGCTCTTCTCTAATCTATTATTTTTTTCCTTCTTCTATTTTTGTTTTCTTCTTAAGGTTTTAATTTTTTTTTAACTAAACCTAACAATTAACTCATATATATAGAATGAATTTTTTTCATAATTACAAAAACAAGCTAATTATTTATACTAACTAATAGAATAACACATAAGTTTATGAAATGATAATATAACTACTATTGAGTCCATAATTAAATAATAATAATTTATTTTTTTGAACGGAGTATTACACACCTTAACCCACTTAAAATGAAATGTATAAAAATATGTAATTAACAGGATATGAGACAGATGTATGTAGAGGTTTACAAACTCGAAAAGAGTATATAGAGTATATATATTTAATGATTTATCTTGCTCAAACGTGCTCCAGTAGAGCTATACAAATTCTAATTTAAATTAAAAAATTAGATTAAGTTGGTTCATTTGGTATAAGCCGGACCTGACAGGACAACGTATGTAACACCCCAACCATTTTCTTTTTTTAATAATAATAATAATTATTATTATTATTTTATTTTAATTTTTGTAATTATTATATGAATATAATGATTTATTATGTAATAATATATGGTTTTAATTTAATTTATTTAAATAGAAATAATAATAATAATAATAATAAGGGGTAAAATTATTTAAAGATTTAATTGAAAATAATTTTGAGAAAAAGGGGTGAAAATTTGAGTTATGAGGGTATTTTTGAAAAGAAAATTGAAAATCGGAGGTCAAAATATAATTTAAAAAAATTGTGCCACGTCAGCAGCCCTGACCAACCAGGACACGCCGCGTGGCAGAGACGCTGACGTGGGAGGCCACGCGAAAGGGTGCCACGTGGGTGATCCGCGTGCGCACGATCGAACGGTTGAGATCCGTTCCCGCGAGCACAAACGGCTCAGATAAAAAACGCGCACGAACGGTCCAGATTGCACTCGCACTGACGACCTAGATTGAATCACGCACGGACGGCCTAAATTGCATCGCGATGAACGGTCCAGATTCATTTTCTATTTAATCACGATTGGACGACCCATATTGAATCGCGATGCACGACTCAAATTAAAAGCGGATGATTATAAATAATCTCATCCGCACCCAAACCCTAACCCTAGCCGCCAGAGCCCCTCGCCGGAGAAGATAGCCTAGCCGTCGGGGAGTCGACCACTGCCACCCGCCGCCGCACTGGAGCAATTTTCGGCCGCTAAACGAGGTAAAAAATTCTCTCATTGGCTCAAAATTCGATGCTGAACCCACCTATGGCCAAATCGGAGCAAAAATACCGGTTAATTGGCTGGAAAATGCCGTTGAAGCCTAGCGACGGCGCCGCGGGTTTTCTCTATTTTTGTCTTCGATGAGGCCCTTCCCGATTCCCGTTCGATGTAATTTTTTCACAATTGTGACCACCATTCCATCCTCTACAGGTTGACTAGAGCAAAATACTAAATTGCGACGCGAGCCGGAGGAGCTACTGCACCGGAGAGCCCCGCCGCTGGTAAGTTTTAATTTTCAGTGTTTTTCCGGCCCACCGAGGGCCTTAGGGGTGTTGTCTCACAAGAACCAATGAAAATTTGTCTGAATTCGGCCAAAAATGGCCGAAAACAGCCAACCCGATGCGGATCGCCATCGCGAGCCGGATCTTGGCGGAGCCGCCGTGCCGGAATTCTAAAATTGGCCGAATAGGCATTGGATCTGATTTTTGAGTTATTTAGGACATGTGTAGGTACCGTAAGCGCGTTTCAGTTCCCAAAAAAAAATTCAGAGAATCTAGGGACTGCCCGTAGGCGCAGTGAAAATTCGATTTTCGACATCGAATTAGGTAAGAACCCCTCATCCTATTTCCTATCACGAGATTAAAGTCTAATAAATGATAAAACTGTATTTTGTATAAATTAAGTAGATGTGCATAATTAATTCTAGTTGCTAATGGAGCTCTACCAGACATATTTCTCTGTCAGTTCCTGTTAATTTATTTTACAGTCTAAATGCATTATTGGATCTGTTTTATTTATTCTATGGTTTTGAACGCACGAATCACTGTTTATTTCACTACTTCTTGATTTTGTGAATTTAAGATATGCTTGCCTTGTTGGATGCACGTTACTTGATTAAGTATTCATGTTTGAATGGGTAACGGAAAACTAAGAAAAAAATAGGAAAGGGATGTGAATTGATAAATGGATAAGTTGACAGGCTCACTAGATATCTGAGAGATGGTGAATGGACCGGATCCATAGGGAACCCTACTGGGAACGTTGTCTCATACCGAACGGGGTATGGAGACTTTAAATATTTTGGCGCTCGTACTGGACGGGGTATGGGGACGGTCCGCTTCACCCTCATACCAGACGGGGTATTGAGATTTATTGTTTGGCGCCCATACCGGACGGGGTATGAGGACGACCCTGAAAATTAAGTTCGTTAAGGGAATGGTTCACGTGTAGTGGGGACCCCTATGGATCCCCATGAATACTAATAGGCTGATGAAAAGGGGATAACTGTTGTTTGATGACTGAAATATAAAAGTATGACATGTGCTATGTTACAGATTATGTGTGAATTCATGATATCTATGATGTTATTGTTTCCATATGTCGTTTTTATAAATCCCACTGAGGTAAGTGGACGGTAAATGGTTTGATTATTGTTAAATAAATTTATTCAATTTGTGCTCCATTAGTTGCTTTTAGTTTTCTACCAACATTTACTTCTGTGACAGTGATAAAGTGTGATGTCTTTATTGGGTTAGTGTAACTCATTCCTTACTTAACCATTTCAGATAAGGAGGACTTGGTTCCCGAGCCCGATCCACAAGAAGACGACAAGTAGATGTGTAGATGTTTATTAGTTTCCTTATAGTATTTCATTTCTAGTATTTCCTTTAGAGGACTTATTTTTTTATATTGTTAGTACGTTTAAGTTATTGTGTAAGAGATATTAATCAGAACATTTTATTTCGTTTCCCCACTCATATTCTTTATATACATTTCTTACTAAATTTCCGAGACCGTTACAACATACATGGTTGGTAATAGTTGGATCGAAAAATTAGATTTAAATATATCAAATCACAATTTCGACCTATAATTAAAAAAATAGTTATGAGTAATTTTTATTTTTAGAGCTTAATATAAAGTTTTAGTAATTTTTTTTATGTATTTGGTTAATTATCATTAGTTTTTTATTAAAAAATAATCGTAGTCCATTGGGTTTAGATTGAGACTGAATTAACCAAAGTCATTATGGATTAATCTAATTGAATTTTAAGCGGTATGGTCTTTGGTTCAGGATTTATGTTTTTTGGTCTCCGTTTGGTTCCATTCTACTCTGGTTGGATTCAACTTTGGATCGATGTATATCCTTTAGTTCAATTATATGTAATTAATAAATTTGTAATCTTATTTTTAATTATATTCAAGTTAATTAGACATTGATTATTTACATTGTATATCTATAATATTGTTTATATTTATTATTGAATATTTTGTTTAAATATCATTTCAAATTATATTTTATTTTGATTAACATTTGTTTAACTATTTTATAAGAATTTTAAGATTAAAAAAAATTAAATGATGAAGGTAACAGTAAAAAATTTTGGCCTATGATGGATAAAAATCTTTCTACTAATTTCAGAAATTTAGCATGTGTGGAGGGTTGACATGCATGCCCAGTGTCTATTCCTAAATATATATTTAAAATTTTTATAATTATATAAAAATAATATAAATATTATTTTATGCCAATAAAAATTATTATCATATTAATTTTATATTATAATCTCAAAAATTATTTAAAATATAAAAATATTTTAGGAGATTCCATAGCAAATCCATTATTTTACATAAAATTACATTTATTAATTATTAGTGATTTAGTATCCCCAGTAATTTATTATTTTAACTAAAATATAAGTATTTGTATGGGTATTTAAAATCTAAAACCCTCTTTTTTCTGTTTTCAAATTACAAACCCAAAACCCTCTCTCTCTCTGGATTCCTCCTTTCACATTCATTTCCCTCTCAAAATTCTCTCGCACTTCACGTTGTAAGGATCTCTGTCAAGGAGGTTTGCAGATCTCTGGTTCATGGAGCCCGCCTTTGATCAGCAAGACCGAATCGTCGGTACTGGTATGAGTTTATCCTTATATTTGATTTTTAATTGGTGTTCACCGGGTTTTTTTTTTCGTTTTTAATTCGAACAACAGCATTCTTTGTCATTGCCGGATTTGATTGCTATTTATAATTTTGTTTCTTCTTTGACCGGGCCTGTTTCTGTGGTGTTCATTTTGATTGGATTCTTTCCTTCTTCTCCAACTTAACGGTTTTTTATGCTTGAAAATTGAGAGGACAATCGGAATCGAAGCGCTTCTTCATAATTTTGGGAAATGCGTGCCGTTTTCCATCCATTTCTTATGTACTACAGCTAATTTTTTGGGTTATCTCGTGTTCTTTAGGGCCGTGCCACGATTGCACCGGTTCAGGACTTTCGTTAGGGTTTCTCGTTAATTATTGTTAGTATCCGTTCCAATGTTGTTTTATATTGGGCATCAATCTGCAGCCAGGTCGTTGTTGGGGTCTAAAATTTCCTGTTTTAATGTACTTATGTATTCATTGTCCTTTCCGCTTTTTCAAAACCTCAAATATATGTCTAAATAATTTTTTTTTTGGTCTATTATTCTTGTTTCCATGTTAGGTAGTCGTTTTAGATTGGCGGAGTCTGCTTGTGGTTTGTGCTGGATAAATTTGATTTGACTGTTACTATTTACTTTATCGTTTGATTGAGGTCTAACCTGTCTCCCGTTCAGCTTAGCTAGCTAGCCAAGATACTTTCATAAGTAGGTGGTCTATTTGGCAACTGATACCTTATTCTCCTTGACCGTGCAGGTTAGAATTCTTGAGCAGATATTGAACTGTTTTTTATGAATGGATTTCTGTGATAGTTAGCGTGAATGTTCTATTCCATGTTGAGATATGAAGAAACTAAGATAAGTTAAAATGGAAGGGCACTCTATTCCTGTATCAGGGGTGGATTTTGTGAAAGATGTGCCAAAGAATCTGCTGGTCTGTGTTAGTTTGTTGATAAAAATTTATCCTTACCCATATTCATTGATCAAAATCTTTACAGTGGTCAAATCCCAGTAACTGTGTGGCTATCCAAATAATGATGAAATGCCTGGTGTAATTCTTGAATATTCATGAGCTTGAGGTGCTTAAGGAATTAGGAGGTCAGTGTCCTTTCAACAGAGTTATGTTAAGATAATCTTGAGCAGCATCGTACTTATAAGATCGATGATTTTGTGGGAACATAAATAAGCACGAAGTAATTGCTTACTGCAAACTGTCATTTGGCCAATGCACAAGCAAAAGCAAAACAGGCGGTCATTGCTCGAGGTGCTTTTAGTTTTTAGAGACATTTGATACGAAAATATATCCTTATCTATATTTACATAAAAATCTTTGTGGTGGTCAAATACTGCTGACTTGTGGCTATTCAAATATTGTTGAAATACATGGTGTTCTTGAATCCTGGTGAGCTTTTGTTGCATAAGGAATTAGGAGGTTAGTGTCTTTTTTAAAGAGCTATGTCAAAATAATCTTAAGCAATCAGCACATTTATAAGCTCGAAGATTTTTTAACTAATTGGTTATAGCAAACTGTCATTAGCAAATCTAGAAGCAAGAGCAAAACAGGAGGTGATTACTTGAGTACTTTTTATTTCAAAGACATTTGAGAATACTGTTTGTTTAACTTCTGTTGGTTCACTGTCTGCATCTCAATTTCTTTCTCACTTATTTACTCGGTCAATTGTGGGAACTGAAATCTTATTTTGCGTAGTTAGTCGACCTACCTCGAAATCTAAGTTAATCCAGGACTTTGGAATCATGTAAAGACATGAAATTCTGCAGTAGTATAAGGAGTTTGATCAAGAAGTGATGTTTTCCCCCTCTGCTTGGCATGAATATGGATTTGCATGCTGCTGTTTTATCTAAAATTTCTGCACCTTAATACCAGTATTGGTTGCTTGTTTCTCTGCATTTGACCTCGTCTCTTTCTGTATATGGTTGTAATGCTCAAAATGTGCCTGTTTCTCTTGATTGCTTTGCATGGTAATGGGTGTTGTCGCTGGAGAGTAATGCAAGGGCCTTTTAAGGACTATTTCCTACCTCTTCTGAAATTGTGGGACAGGATTTTTTTGGTGTCTTTATGGCTAAGACCCATGGGCTTTTAGGAATATCTCTCTGTCCGTATTGCAAATAGATATGGCAGATGTTTTGTATTAATTGTTTGTCATTTTTTTCCCTATTTGTTAGGAGGATCACTTAACCTCCCTTGATATATTTTCTTAACTTCTTCTCTAATAATATTTCTAACTTAGATAATTAATAGCTTCTGCAACTTTTTGCTTAATTTATGTGTTTCCTTTTTTATGATAACTTAAACAATTGATGCTGGATGCAGGGGAAAGACCGTTTGTGGTAGACAATTCTACAGAACAGGTACTTGGTTGAATACCTTTTGATATTGTAATATTAGTACTTGTGTATTTTATTTTGGTAAGCATAGGTGAATGTGTTCCTTTAGCACTTCATTTTTAATCTATTATCAGCCACTTTCGCCCAAGGATGAAAGGATTGTTTCAGCGAGTCTTTATCCGGATGCAGCCATCATAGGCTCTTCAAGGGATGTTGCCGAACAGGCTGGAGCTTCAGATGCAGTTGGAGATGTTGGCATTATCCACCCACCAACTCCATATGCTGCTTATGAACAGAATATGTCACGTGGTGGTTAGTCTGGTGATCCTTTTGCTATGTCAATTGCTGAACAATCTAAGCCTTTCAGTAAAATTGTAAAAGATATTCCTAATATCTATCAAGAATTGTGTCTTGATTATTGCTTTTAAAAGAAAATAATTTAGCTATTTTAGAAGTCCAACCACAATGTCTGTGTGTGTTATCTATATCATCCATTATCAAGAATGTGTAGTTTTCTTTCTTTGCATTCAGGTTATGCTGACAGCATTGGTATTTGGGATGGATACCCACAATATGTTAATCCTGAAGGCATGCACTTATCTCCGGTGAGTATGATTCCTTAACTAAATTATTATGGAAATCAGTGTTTGGACAAAGCTTACTTTTTGTTTCTTTTTCTGTCATAATTCAGTTTATCTACAATGAGAATCCATCTCTTCTCTTTCACTCTGGTTTCGGTTTCAACCCTGAGATGGTGTATGGGCAGTATTCTCCTATAGCTACTCCTTTGCATTCAATGATGATGGAAGGCCAGCTATATTCTCCGCAGCAATTCCCATTCTCTCCAACTTTCTACCCGCAACATGGTCAACAGCATGCTCCAGCAACTTTGTCTTCAGCAGTTCCAGTTTCTCCACCTGAGCTGATGACCTCAGAAAGTAGTGGTGAAAACCTACTCTTTGGGCCTGGATCAGGTTACTTAGTTCCTTTTGGATCATTAGGCGGAGGGAACATATCTGGGAATCCTGCTACTAATCCTCTAACATCTCCAGTAGCTTATCCTCAAGTGATGGGCATACTTGGGTCATATGAGCAAAATGTTGTACAGGTATGTTTTGTTGGTTATAAAATATTGTGTATCATGAAAATAGTCCTTTGGAAGCAGAAGGAATCCCATATGATTTTTTTGGGGTGATCGCTATACTGTCATTAATGGTCCTGATTGTCATATAATTTTTCTTTGTTTTGTCTTTTCTGAATAACCCTGTTTTTTCATCATTTATATCATTGCTTGCAACCAGTTCCTAAACCTTGAGCTAGATATGTTGTCCACTCCATTGAATAAGGTACTAATATATCATTATGCATAGTGTTATAAACTTTTTCTCCCTTAATAATATTTCTTCATTTATAAAAAGAAAATGTTGGTGGATGGGTGGGGATGGCTCTTCCACATTACTGATAATGTGGCATGTGCTGCCCAATGCCCCGATGGCCTTACGGTTAAAATTTGTTCGACACTGTCCTTCTTACATGGAATTTACTCATGTGATTTTGTTTGAAGTTTTTTGTTCTAATTGCAAGCAAACAACATGTTTCTTACTCTTGTTATATGTTTGCTTTCAGAAAATAGCGATGCTTTAGATTCTCAGTAACATATAGGCTTGTTGTTGACTTTTTTGCTTGATGGATTTTGAACTGATATGATTCTGCATTCTCAATGACAGAGGCAAATGCATGGTTATGGACCTGCCTCAAGTTCTGTTGGAGGTTACTCAGTTGGTTTATCTTATCAAAGCCCTAACTTCACCACTCATTCCATTTCATATTTGGGAGCTGATGACCAAAGCAGGTCGAATGTTGACAAGGGAAGGAGACGAGAGAGGGATCAAGAATCAATTTGCATTTCTAATGATTCACATGGAGTTGATCACAATCGAGGGCCTAGGGCTTCAAAGTTGAAGGGCAAGAACATCTCTGAGGAGAGCTCTTCATCTGCTAATGGAAAAAATAATTTGGCAAGCTGTGAAACATATCGTACTTTCTACAACCAGCCTGATTTTGTCACAGAGTACGAAAATGCTAAGTTCTTTATCATAAAGTCTTTCAGTGAAGACAATGTTCATAAGAGTATTAAATACAGTGTCTGGGCCAGCACGCCACATGGAAACAAAAAATTAGATGCTGCTTACCATGAAGCAAATGCGATGCAAGGAAAATGCCCCGTTTTTCTATTTTTTTCGGTATGTCACTGTAACTAACTTATTTTGTGGTTTTTATGCTTCTAACCTCCTTGAGAAGTTCGATGCCTGGGGGGTCGGGGGAAGAAGGTGGTGGTGGCAGGAGTGTGTAAGGGGCTATGAACTGATGAAAGAATGATTGCATTGATTACGAGGGGTTATTAAGATTCTAGTTTGGAAAGATGGTTATGTGTCTGTATTGGGTTGGTTATCACCTACTTTGGCATTTTTGTCCATGGAGTCTAATTTGTAACACCATAACAATTAGGTAGGCGAGCTAGTTTGTTGCACTAAGTGACAATTGATAGGTATCTTCTAGGCAATAACAAGAGTGAACTCCAAAAATTTTATTAATGCTGAACTGTTGTAGCAGGCTAGTTTCCAGGGTATTTATAAGACAAAAGCAACATTCTAAAAGCAGAACAAAAACTAAATAGAAGTGATAAAGGAAAATCTGTCTCACTTCTATGTTAGGACCTGACTTTAACATGTAATTCATTAGGATCTTAATTTAGGAAAAATATTAAAGTTGGAATAATTATTGGGTAATTCTGATAATTTTAAAAGATTGTGATAAAAAAAGAATTTAGAAGAAAAGAGAGGGGTTCTGGAAAGAGAGAAGAGAGGAAGTTGGGGAGAGAGAAGAAGAGAGCTTGTGAGAGAGAGTGGAGATTTTAGAGGAAGAACGAAAGAATGTTTTAGAAAGAGAGAGAGAGACTGTTAGAGAGAGAAACAGAGAGAAATATATAGAAAGAGAGAAAGACAGAAATATATAGAGAGAGGCTGTTAGAGAGAGAAAGAGAGAAATATAGACAGAGAGAGAGAAGAGAGAAGAGAACGACAGGAAATTTAGAGAGAAAAGAAGAAATAATCCAATATTTTATTTCAAAAGTTACATGTCTTGGGTTTGATTTACAACTAATATTTATAGACATGAAATGGTACATGAATCCTTATCACCCATTACAACTATTTGGATAAATGAGAATCCTTACCAACCATCACAACTATTTAGGTGCATAACTTATCAACCATTGCAACTGTTGGGTTTCTTAACGTTCTATTGGATCAAGGACTACCCGTGTGCCTTATTTCATAAAGAGGCTAAAAGCACCAATCTATCCAAGGAAATGGGGGGTCTGAATATGCTCCTGGAGACCCTGGCATTCTGTTTTACTACAATATTCACAAGCCAAATCTCTGTGGTGTAAGACAAATAGGATTGTGATTTGTTAAATTGGGGATTGAGGGATAAAAGACTTGGACATCATACTTAGTTTTTGAGACATTACATCTAAGAAGTATTAAGCATTAGACTTAAGGGTTTGATGCATCATGCAACCAAGGAATTGAGGAACTCTCAAAATGTATTAATGAATACTTGAATGATTCTCTCGAGGGGTTACAATCATATTTATAGGATGCTAAGCAGTTCTTTCCTAACTAGAATAGGAAATACAAAAACTAGTTTAGGAATAATATTTCTAAAAGATAGGAGTACTAATATTGAAAAGATTAGGAATACTAATTTTAATGCAAATTGAAATATAAACACAAATAGGAAACTAAATACTAAAAAAGAATAAAATGCTAAAGTTATCAAAGCCGTAATTGTAAACTCTTAAATAGTATAATAGTTTTGCATTTAAAGAATTGTAACTTTTAATCTATTTACGCATAACACATTCTTCATCACCCTGGCATTATGCTCCAATCACAAAGCTAAAAGGCTAGCTAGGATAATTCACCTCACATTGTCTTATCTAGTTTACTCCTATTTCCTTGAATATAAATGGAAATGAAACAACCAAATGTAGCCTGAAACAATCTAGCTGGCATTATACTGTAGTTGATTGTCATCTCAGTTAGAGTACCGACTATTGGCAAGCAGTATAGATAGTGCATTGAGGCTGTATGGAGAGTAAGCAAAAATCCAATACAAAGAATCCAGTATTTCTCTCTGTTGTTCTACTTACCTTTTCTCTTCTAATTCTCTCCTATTTTTGCTCCTTATTTCTCTCTTTTCTCCTCTTGAATTAACTCTTCACAAATTAAATCATAGATCGGCCACACTTAAGCCGTCTAATGAGTCAGGCACCTGAAATTATGCTAAGAACTCTGGCAAGAGTCAAGACCACACACATATTAGGAGATAAAGCATTATGCAACTTGCAGCAAATAACTAGTGTTTCTAATTGGATCTCTTGGTCCAAACAAACATTTTAACCTTTAAGGGAGCCTTCACATCTCACAAAGATTTCATGAAGATTAAATTTGTAAATGAGGGATGAATTGTCAAGAACTGAAAAAATTTTTTTGCTAGTAAATATTTTCTAAAGTGTCTAAGCCCTAAGTACCAAACTCTAAATTCCTGTCTAGGAGGAAAGTGAAACGAAACCAGTGAGGATGCTAAGTCCAAGGTATCTGTTGCTAAGACTCTGGAAAAATAAATTTTCCAAGAAATTTGATCCTCCTGTTCTTGAATAAGTAAGGAAAGATGATGTGATGAAAAACTGGAAAGATCAGGAAATGGTGGAAAAGAGGAGGTTCACCTAATCAATTGTCCAAAAAAGAAAGCAAGAACCATTTCCAACATTCAACTGAAGCAAAGAGATTTGGACTATACACTTTAGAAATAAATTTAAAGGTGCTTCTTTGCATTGTGAGAGTTCCTGCCTTGGCATCCATCTGTTTCAGTGAAGACCATTCTTGATCCTGACCACTGTTGTAGAGAAGGTATACAGTAAAATGCCATAGCCAATTGGCGATGGATATTGTTTTTCCGAGGCCTAGATTCTCATCCATTTCTCAATTTGCAATTCTTCTCCTAGCTAACCAAATTACCTGATTGAGGTATACTGCTGCCTTAAACACACTGCTAATCTACAATGTGGAAGTTGAAGATTTGCTCGATACAGGCTCCTTTTTAATAGATTTATTGAATATAAAAAATATGCACTGTTACGGGGCTAAGCATTCATTACTTCCTGAGTTGTAGTATGTGTGCAGATGTTGATGTTACGTTGGATCAAATTATCCTTTATGATTTTGGGCGTGGATATGCAATGGAAGAGAAAATTTTAGGTGTTTGTTTATTCAGGTTGAGTCCTGCTTCTTTAATGCAAAATTTGAAGATGCAGAGAATCAAAATTCTGCTTTGCTGCTTATACTAATTTTCATTGATGGCTAAAGCAACATTATCATATATGAAGATTCAGCAGTCAGCATATGCTATGTCTACTCTTTTTCCAGCATTGGTATTTATGCTCTTAGAAGCTGAGAAACCCGCTTCCTTGGTGCAGTTTCTTTTGATTATGTTGTGTTTTTTAATCCATACCACCTCTTAGCTTTTAGTGGAACTATCAAGTCTTCCTGACCACAATTTCATGCAGGTTAATGCTAGCGGACAGTTCTGTGGGGTGGCTGAAATGGTTGGACCTGTTGACTTTGAGAGGGATGCTGATTACTGGCAGCAAGAGAGATGGAGTGGGCAGTTCCCTGTGAAATGGCACATCATCAAAGATGTACCAAACAATCGATTTCGTCACATACTCCTCCACAATAATGATAATAAACCTGTGACTCACAGCAGAGATTCTCAGGAGGTTCAATTTCCCAATTCGCTTTTTAAAACTGTTGTACTAATTTATTTTTGGGAACTAGAAATTTTTCAAGCATTTTTTCTGTGTCCTTCTGAAGGTGTATGTTAAGTGGAAAGGTTCTCAATTCTGTTGTTTTTGTGCAAGCCTTGGTAATTGTTGCTTAATAAGGTGAGAGATGTGTAACTATATATATTGTTTGCTGAAACAAAAAATGAAAAGGAAGAAAGAACCTTAGGTGTGCCTCAAGCATTTGTCACTCAAAAGACTATAGTTAAGACAGTGATAGATGACAGTGACTGACGGCTCTTTTCCGGATTTCCAGAGTGATTGAAAGCTCTGTTCCAGACTTCCAGTTCATTTCATTTAAAAATAGAGATACCCATTTAAAGATCTTGTTTAATTGTCAGTGCTCCAATCATAGTAGTCTACTATCCCTCTCTGAAACTGCAGGTCTAAATCCATATTGACGGGATTTGGAAGAGGAGAGAAAATTTTCTCCAGATTGCAGGATATTATAGTTGATGGGTGGGACTTAAACATTCCTGGACTTGAATATGGGGAATCTGGAATTCTTAGGATGTTGGTTCTGAATAACTGTCATATATTTTTTTCAATGGTCTGTGTTCTCAGTGCGAGTAGTGAAAAATGTAATTTCATGACCACAACATAGCTAAAACATGCAAATGTTTGCCCACTTGTTATCTATTGGCTGATTTCAACCAGGATGAAACAAACACATTTCTTGGCAGATCTCTTGTATGCCTTATTTTTTGACAATAGAGGTCTTTCTATTTTTGGTTCTGCTGGTAAATTCTTTTTATTAACTTAACATGCTCTTGATTTTGGGATAATCAGTGAATCAGAAGAGGTATCGAGATACTGAAGATTTTCAAAGATCATGATGTGCGTACATCCATTTCTAGATGATTTTGGGTATTATGATGATAAGGGAAAGAATTGTAAAAGAGAGGAAGGCCAGACAGCAGGCCCAGCTCAATTGAAAGATGTTCCCCATTTACTTGCTGATGATTCTATAGAGCAAATTTCTGGTCTTCTTTCTGAAAGCCTTACATCTGGAAGATGGCAATGAAAACAAACAAGCACAGGAAACAAATTTTAGGCTAGGAGAAAGACTTCATAAACAAATTCATAAACCAATCTTCTGATAGCTTTTCTGTGGACCCACCTGCCGGAGGAGAAGGGTGATAAAAGAATTATTGGCATCTGATGTATGTGCAGCAAATAGGGAATTTAGCCTGTTGAGAACAGGACTACAGTTAACAGCTAGAAGCAGTTAGTTTTAGGTGTGTAATTGACAGAGCTCCCTGGTCCTTTTTAATAATTCTATAGATTCTTTACTTGCTGACAACATTTGAGGAGGTAGATGAGGCATGTTGGGCCAGGGGAGCTGTGCAAGGTGATGGTCTGGTTTTTGGTCTGGTTTTTAAGCATCTTTTGTGGATTGTTCTGGGAAAAATTGTGAGGTCAAGTTACATGCGTACGGGATGGAAATTGGGACACATTGAATAGTCTGTTTATTGGATTCTCAGTTGTTTTCTCTGAAGTTTGTTGCAGCTTTGCACTGTGGGACTTTGAAGTAACAGCATGAAGAGGTATGTTTTGGGAAATTAACTTTGGTATATACTGTGTCCTTTTGATGCATTATTTCGTGTAATCTCTCTCTCTCACACATTTTTTTTTTCTTTTCCTTGGTTTTGACTTTTGAGAGGGTTTTGGGGTAATGAAAGGATTTGTAAACTTCCCCATTTTGGGAGGTAAAATCAACATTAATAAAGAATACAAGATGTTACAGATTGGCAATGAAATTATTTTTCTGGTCCTCCATTACAATATATATTGATTTTGTTTTCTTTTTGGTTTTGATGAAGTTGATGGTTTGTAGATTATTTGTAAATTTTGTTTATTTTAATTAGAAAATAATAATATCTTTTCATAAAATGATAAATTTTTGGATTTATATATAGGATTTTTATATTAAAGTAGTATCTTCCAATTTCCAGAAATATTTTGGCATAAATTGTGCTGCAAACATCTATCTAGCTGAGTAAATTATCAAGTTCATTCTAAAACTTTTTTTTCAACCTACTGCTTCAGAATATGAAGCTACTTATTTTTTAATTTCAACGCGAATAATTTATATTTATCATAGATAAAAATTAATTGCATTACAAAAATTATCGAAAGCAAATACCTCATTTTGCTCAAATGTAAAAAAATAATAACAGTAAAAACATAAAAAATGTCATCTTCCATAAAAAATTAATGAAGTATAGACTAGCAGGACATTCTTAGTATGGTGATAAGAACTAATTAAATGATTAATTAGCATAGAAATGAAGAATAAATTGAAAAATAAATGAGAACATTGCTCTTAAAATTTTAGAATACTAATGCTACTTTTTTAATTAAAATAAAAAAAAAAATATTTTTTTTAATTTTTAAAAACTGTTCTCGAATTTTGTTTACTTATATAAGTATGGAAAATATTTTTAAAAGGTAAAAATGATGTAGTAGAACAAATATGTTAGTAATTAAACATTATATTTTTATTATTTATTTGGTTTAATTGTTGCAAGTAAATTCATGTTTTTTTTTATAAATATTATTTAATTAATTTATTTATTGAAATAAATATATTTTTTGGGACACCATATATGTGATCTAAATCTAACCAACAAAACACAATCTCTACCACTTTGTTTTCTTTGATCAAAATTGTGTTCTTACATTTTATTTAAATTTAATCGTATGATATTTTTATAATCAATTTGTGATAATCTACTTATCATGTAGTAATAATATGTCTAAAAAATCTATTCATTCTAATAGATAAATTAATTTAAAAAATAAAATATTAATAAATTAATAACAATAATTAAAAGTTAGGGACTAAATTAAAAATAAAGAATTATTATTTGTCGAGTAAACTAAAAAAGAAACATCATTTTTCTATATTTCTTCATTAATCTTTATATTTATATATATTAAATTATAATATACACTTTTAATTGTTTGTGCTAATGTACACCTTAAAGTATTGTAATATATTAAATTACTCAATTCATTAGCAATTTTGTTAACCTTAATACCACTCTACACCACATTCCCAACCCTCCCATAAAATAAACCATAAAAACCCTAAATTTTCTTTGCCTAATTCTTTGATATAATCTCCTCTTTTATTTTTGTTTTAAACCAGAAATCCACCACCTCAAACCCTCCATGCTATTCTTTTACTTGTGCAGGGTGAAATTTATAAAGGGGAGATCAAATTTGGTAATAATTAAAAATATGGGGTGTTGTAAATTAATAAATTGCAAAAGTATACGGGTGGTTTTTAATATTAGTAATAAATTTTAAAGTTCATTCATTTATATTTAAAATTTTTTAACCATTTTTTTTTTTTTTTATATCTTGTTTCAAATTTAACTGGCATCCTGTACAGAAGTCCTCTTCTCAGAATTCCTTCTGATCACCCCCGGACCAACAACCAACCATGACGGTGAGTACCTTGGATCCCCAGATCTTCCTCGAAATTTTCATTTTCTCGGAAATACATCACATCATACGTGTAATTTCTTTCGACAGGAGTCGTCGGGGACTACGCTGATGGATCTGATAACGTCGGACCCGGCGCCGGCGCCATCATCTTCGACTTCTTCTTTAGCGTCATCTACGGCGGGTTCCGCATCTGCGTCGATGGTTTCGCAGCTCCAGCAACCGCAGCAGGTGTCAAGCAAAACCACTTTGGGGGAGAAGAAGTCTAAGAGAGCCAGTTTGATGCAGTTCCAAAACGACACTATTTCTGTTGCCAAAGCGGCTCTTAATCCTGTTAGAACCAATATAATGCCGCAGAAGCAGAAGAAAAAGGTATTCTCACTCTTCCTATTTTGTGCGTATACTTAATTACGCACTTGATATTTGTAGAAAATCGTATGCTATGTTGTGAGTGCTTCTCTAATAGGTTGCTTCTCAATAATTTCCATAAGTTTCAGTGAAAAGGTGTTTCTCAGTATACTTTAGAACGTTCTCCTCCTAGGGCTTCTTACACTTTCGTTTCTGATGATCTGTTTGGAGCTGAAAATCCCCTTAAAAGAAAGGAAATTGGAGACTTGGACATAAGGATTTACTGTTAATTTTTAGAAAAAAAACAAAAACTCTATTCGTTAAGAACCCACTGCATGACTCGGGGAAATGGCTTCTAAAATTTAATTTGAAATTCTTAGCAAAACGTGGCAATCGAGATACTGATTTTCTTCAGCTACAATTGTCAAGTATATTGCCATAATAAGGAAGAGAAACACTTAAGAAACTCCACTTGGATTAAGTGTTTGTTCTGTCTACATTTAATTTTTCTTCTCAGCAAGCTGGCTCTTTTTCTGGAAACATGCTGATATTCAATGCAATTCTTAATCTTGACAGCCAGTTTCTTATGCACAACTTGCAAGGAGTATTCATGAATTAGCTGCTACTTCAGATCAGGTGAACAGCCCGTGCTTCTGTTATTTAAGTTTCTATAGTAGTGTTTTAGTTGTAAGTTCTGTTATCATGCATTTTAGGTTAGTTGAATTTGTTTATTATGAGAGAAACATCAATTGGTGCCTCCAGTTTGACTTTGACCTCTTCTAAGACCTTTCCAAGTTATATATAAGTCATTTTCCCTGTTCTTTGATAGAGAAACTTTGTAGTTTAGAGTTTAAGCTTTCAAGTCATATTTGCTATTCAAGTATTTATTACTGCCATAATAACCTTTTTAGCTTGTAAACAGAAAAGCTCTCAGAATCAATTAGTTCATCATGTGTTTCCCAAACTTGCCGTCTACAATTCTGTTGATCCTTCCTTAGCACCATCTCTTCTCATGGTATGCTTCTAATTTTTCCTTATTTTTTATCGATATATGATTGTTCTTGCTGAAATATTAAACTAGTTGTTGTTTACTTAGTTACATTCTGTAAATATTCTAACAAAATACTACTTCATGTATGCTTTTACTTCTGGCTTCATATTACAATGACCACGGACATTTTTTGTCCAACATGGCAAAACATTGACAACAGCCAAAGTTCATGCTAATATGCACAGAAACCCAGAAGATATCTTATTAATTTGTCAACTTTTTCTCTTGTTTTCTTTCTTATTTATTATTTCTTTTCCTTAGAGGTCACATTAGCCTCTTCCTTGATGTAATATTTCCTTCTTAACAATATTTTCTATTTCTTTGAAAAAAAATATTTTTTGCCCACGGAGTACTGCATCTGTTCTCGGATGCTTCGAAGCCTTCAGTTCTCTTTAAGGATTTATCTTTGAGAATGTGTAGTGGGATCTGTGTACTTTTTTCTGGAAATGTCGGTATAAATCATTTTGAAGTTGTTGCCTACTGTCTTGTCTAACTGATGTGATGATTTGACAAGGTTATGTTGGCACCGGTCCCCTGTGTCACACTTGATTAAATTTAACTGTTTCATATTTTCTACAAAATGATCTAGTGATTCACACTTGGTTGGAGGTACTGTCTTCAAAATATCTTCCCTTCTTAATAGTATTTTCTTTTTCTATGGAAAAAATATATCTTTTTCCCTTGATGAGTATCATGGACTACTGCGTGTCTTCTTTGATGCGTCATCCTTTAGCTCTATTTAAGGACTTGTCTTGCTGAATTTGTTGTGTGATTTCTACAATTCTTTTGAGAAATAAGCCAGCACAGGGGCAGCTTAATACTTTTGCAAGGCAGCTAAGGAATTAAGAAACGCCCCCCCGGAAGAAGACACAGACCATAACCCAAGTGAGGTGAAAAAGACCAATCTGTCCCATATAAATGGGGGAGATTGATAATGATATTTAAAACTTGACATTTGTTTCTAATGACAGTGTAGCAAATATAACCTTCTTTATAACATTTTTCTCCTTGTTCCTTCCCAAACCACATAGAGAAGAGTTGATGGAAACCTCAAGGGAAGGGGGAAAAACCCAACAAAGAGCTATAGCTAAGAGCCCAGTCCAAAGCCTCCAAGCCACATAATAGTGAAGAAATAGATGGCTATGAGAGACAAGATTTATGAAAGCACATCCCAGATTTTAAGAGATAATGCTATATTAGGTCTATATGTTTGGGGCAAATAATTAGTCTTAATTTAGTTTAAGACAATAATCCAGATAAGCCCCTTAACCTTAGAGGGTATTTTCATCGTCTAAAAAGCACCATGGAAGGCCAACTTTTGATAAATGGGATTTTGGGTAAAGAATTTGGAGAAAGGTTTCCAAGTGTAGACGTTAGGTAAGTCTATTCGTCACCCTATATAGCCTGGGACCAGAACAGTTTATAAGGGCTTAACAAGGTTAACAACAAAATTGACTCTAGTCTCTCTTAGTCTTTGAGGTTTTTGAAAAAAGAATGAATTGCACGAACTACGGCATACTTTTGAGACTTGAAATTTGGAATAAGGATATTATAATGTAGGAAGGGTCTATAAAGGTGTGGAAAGCAAATAGAACAAGGATATTCTNNNNCCAATACACGAACATAATCTAGTACACTCAAATCCATTGCATAATGTGGAAATAAGTGACTCTTCTATTCTGAGCTATCAAAAACACATGAAGCACACATCTGTGGTGGATATTTGCATTACCTTGTCACCACACAAATGATTAAGTGCAATTATTCTTAAGCATAGTGTAGGGCATTTTTTCTTAGCAACTTTGAAGATAGAACTATGAATTTGGTTATCAATATCATTTATCATATTTTACTTACAGTTAGAGTAATTATGCATACTTTTTGTTTTCACGCAGCTCAATCAGCAGTGTGAAGATAGGAGTGTTCTACGCTATGTCTATTATTACTTGGCCAGAATATTATCTGATACTGGTACTCAAGGTTTAAATCCAGGTGGTGGGATTCCCACTCCAAACTGGGATGCTCTAGCTGACATTGATGCTGTTGGAGGGGTGACCAGAGCTGACGTTGTTCCACGAATTGTGCATCAACTAACTACAGAGGCATCAAATGTGGATATTGAATGTAAATTCCGTTCTTTTTGTATGATTATGGGAATCCAACGTTCCAGTTATTTGCTCATCTGACTTTGCTAGTGGCATATGTTTTAGAGAAATGGATCCAGGGGCCCTCATTAAGTTCTTGGTTGTGCTTGGAAAGTAATTTTTTTTGTCATTTTACTTGTTAAGCAGCTTCTAGTTGATTCAGTTGATATCTCCTGAGACATTATTCCAAAATCTGACAGGGCCATCTGTTTATTCTTTTGTTTTGTTTTTGGTTTTTCTATTTTTTTTAAAAGTTAACAAGGTGGTGTTCAAATAAATCTTTTATCTTGTACACTTGGAAGTTGGTCCTTTTCAAATGGACTTTTTGCAATTAATTCTAACTGATTTGCTATATCTTCATGAAGTAATGGAAGGATTTTTGTTTTTTTCTTTGTTATTCTCGTATTGATGCCTTATAGTATCTATTTTTTGTTGTAAGTTTTTTCTGCTTTTCTTAATAATATTTATTTTAAGAAAAAATTGGAAGGAGGTTTCATGTTTCTAAAACTTCCTTGACTCAACAAATTTCTTCAGTTTCAGTTGTTTAACATCAATAATGATTACCTGCAAAGGAGTTTTTTTTGAGTTAGATCCCTATTGCTCCTTTCTTGGTTAAATGCAGTATTTCTTCGAAGTTCTTGATTTTATCAATTGATGCTTTTCTTGGTTAAATGTAGGATTTTTGTTTTTAACTTTTAACATTCTACTTGTTAGATCTCTTGAGCATGCTTTTATTAGAATTGTCTTGAAACTATGATTTGATGGTAAATGTTGGCTGTTGAGGTCTGTGGGTCTATTCCTTCATTTTTCAAGTCAAGAACTTAACCAACCTTCTTATGCATTTCTTAGGGATTGTAAAACCATTACATGATTGTTCAAAACTGTTTGTACACGTAAATTTCTTTTTTACTAACAGAAAGGAAAAGATGGGGTCATATTTTTGGACCTATAAATATGCCTATTTTATTCTAAAGCTTAAGATATTAGTTTCTTTGATGTGGCTATGTATGTTCTTCAGAATCTTATTTATATCTTTTCCTTGAAGTTCATGCACGAAGACTACAGGCCGTGAAGGCTCTTACATATGCTCCATCGAACAACACTGAGATATTATCAAAGTTGTATGAAATTGTCTTTGGAATTCTTGATAAGGTTTGTTCTACACTAAATTGTCTTAGTTTGATAAGAAATGTTGCATTACTCTCTCGGCAAAGACAATTTCTCTTTTGCTATTTTGGAAGAGACTGGGTTGCAAGTCTGTATTGAATATAAGGTTTTCTGTTTTTTCTTTTCTTTTTGCAATTTCTTTGTTTTCTGATTAGGAGGATATCTTATTCTCTGGTGTTGTACTTTTTGCTTTTCTCTCTCTACTAATATTTCCTTTTTTTACAATAGATTATTTTATTGTTGAAAGTGTTAGAAAAAAAGGTCCTACTCTTAGCTGGTTTGTCATTTGACTGGAAGTTATAGACATTCTTGTCATTTTTCAGAATCTTTGTTTATTTTCTTCTGTTGATCTTGAATTGTGAATCTTTATATTAAAATGGGACTCATTAAATCCTGAAGTTTCTGGTTCAAACATTGTGAGTGTAATATTTTGATCCAGTTGAAGTAACTGTAGGTATCTTCTATCAGAAAGAAGCTGTGGGCATCTTAAAAAATATTCTAGCATTTCTTGTTTAGTAATATGTATTTTTTTTGTAAAGAAAATATGATATTATTAAGAGAGAGAGAATATAATGAGGGTTATAAGATGTCCTCTAACAACATAAAACAAAGACACAAAACAAGGAAAAGAAGAAAAAGTCAATATAAAAGAGAGTCCTAGTCCCTTTTACATTATAGACAAAGGTTGCGGCCAAAAGAAACCATGTGTTTTGGCCCATAATGAAGCCATGCTGAATGCCGTGTGGAGGCAAATTTAATCATTATCATTGTTTCTACTGATGCTGTATCTAGCGTCCAATTCTTTTTTCACATTGAACTTTCTAATCTGCTTTCTCTTTTTGTTAGATTAATAAATTTTATTGTAGAGAATGTTATATTATTTGCATTTTTTTCAGGTTGCTGATGCCCAACAAAAGCGTAAGAAAGGCATTTTTGGGGCTAAAGGTGGTGATAAAGAGGTAAAGTATCATCAACTATGATTGTTGATGTTCCTTTACTTCCCAGTTATATATCTGAGCATAGTTGTATTTGCTTGGAATCTTTCTTATAAAATTCTTCCGAACTCGTTTTCAAAAAAATTCTCCAAGAGTCTATTCTCTTTTCATCTTTTACCAAGAAAAAAAAGGAAAAAAATCTTTAGAACTATTTTTGCTATGTAGTCGAGGTTGCCAAGTTCCTCGTGGATATTTGAACCTCTTTTTCCAGAGACAAAGTGAATAACTTTAAAAGGTGCCGAGGGGTTGCCCATATACATTACAACTGATCATATGCCAATAATCAACGAAGGTTCTCAGGTCCTCATTATAAAGGTTTGGCTTCATTGTCAACAATGGACGAACTCAAGGAATGAAACCAAGAATCTGTAGTTCTCACAAAAGGAGAGCTAGTGCCCTCAAGCACTTTTTTATTTATCTCTTTTCAAAATAATCCAAAGAATAGATAATGGGATAGGCATACAAAGTTTTTCCTAGCTTTATTTACTTCGATCCTTCCCCAGGGCCAAAGTTTATCAATTGCCGATCTATAAACAATCCAAGATAAACTAAGGATACTTATTTCAAAAGGGGACAAACTAAGGATACATGAAGCAGAATCCCAGAAACTTTTAACCTTTAAGCATCAAAGGAGGTTATGGTTGGGGATTCGCACTCCTTGAGGCACATGCCAAGAATAATTGTGTTCCATCTTCATTGAATAATAAGTTCCTATATATACAAGTTTTAGGAACAAAAATGCAAACTTGTAACTAATTAAAGAGGGTTTGTTTTTCTTTAAGACCCTTGAGGACACAAAGGTTAGTTTTATAGGGTTAAGGTTAGTTGATTTCAGACTTTAGGTTTTTTGATTAATGGTCATCCTCTTTATTCTTTTGAGACATTGGGGATCTTATTGACATTCTAATTGACATGTATATGCTCTTTGTATATGATTTTTTATCCTCTTGGTGCATGTGAATGAATAAATACATATCTTTTATTTCAAGAAAAATTTTACTTTAATATCCTTTAACCTAGTTTAGCCCTATTTACACATAAAGCACATTCTTTAACGGTCTTCCTCAAGTTGGTGAATACATGTAATCCATTTCTAGCTTGCCAGTGATGGTGTGGAATGTTGGATTATTCAAGTCTTTCATCAACATGTCTGCAAGTTGTGAATTGATAGGCACATAGGGTGTACATAGTGGCCTATGTAGCTTCTTTTTAATAAAATACCTATCAATTTCAATGTATTTTGTCTTGTTATGCTGTACAGGATTATGAGCCATACTTGTTGCTGATTTTTTGTCATTGTAAAGACACATTATGCCATCCCATTTGACTCTTAGATTTTCCAGAAGTCTTCTCGACTTAGCTCATATATCCTTGTGTCATTGCTCGGAATACTGAATCTGCACTTAATCTTGTAGAAATTGATTTCATGTATTTCTATTATATTTAAATTCTAATTAATTATTGGTTAGGACTTAACCACTTAGGCTTTGTTTGGATAAATTTCAGTGATGGTTAATTAATGTATAGTAATGACAGTAATTGAATGATAATAACACAGGATTGTAATAACAAAATTTTTTTGCGTTTGGATAATGGTATATTAATGACATATTTTTATTTGTATGATGGGATGGTATGGTTGTATTTTTAGCTAAATTACTAATTTACCCTTACATATTATACGTAATAGTAAATGGTATAAAAGAAATATGTAAGGAAAAAAAAAAATTTATCAATATAATTATATTTGTATTTAAATAAATAATTATTATACATAATCAAATTAAAATTTTATATTTAATAAAATAAATAATAATTATTTATATTATTATATTAATTTAATAAGTTTTTAATTGTCGGGACATATATAGAATTAATTAAATTAGATGTATAATGGGAAACAAATAGAATATCCATCAAATACCACCAATTTGGTTGTTTAAAAATTCACCCCAAAATTTGCCAGTCAAATACTATTGGAAATTGAAACAAACATGGTTTTCTCACACTCGTAAAATACCATACATTAAAATTTTATCATTTACCATGATCCAAACAGATGGTTAACCCACAAGTATGTTATTTATATTAAATTGTTAGCATGTGAATTATATGTTTTTTTTCTACACATGAAAATCACCTTTCTTTTTCTGGTATAGTCTTTTGTTTATTGTTGTTTTTTGCATTTGCAAGTCATGTATTCCTCCCCTAAGCTTGCTTTATAAACCAGCCATATGCTCCTTTTTCCTTTTTCTTTTCCTCTTTTTGTTGAAGAAATTTGTAAACAATCTCATTGCTGATTAAGTTTCGATTATTAATTTTCAAAAAGTAGTCTATCATCCGGAGTAATTTGCAATATGCCGCACTAAGTGCTTTGAGAAGGCTTCCTCTTGATCCAGGAAATCCTGCTTTTCTGCATCGTGCAGTCCAAGGGTAAAGTCCTTTCTCTTTCCTTATGCTTTTTTCTAAGTTTTCTTATCTTTGACTTTGCAAATATATTTTAGGATAAATTACACAGGAAACTATGTTTTGGGTTTAATTACAACCAGATCCATTATTTTGAAAAAATTACGTTTGGTCCTTCTGTTATGCCTTTTTCTTTTTTTCTCTCCTCTTATTTTTCTGCAAGAAGGAAAAAAGTGCCTGTTACCATTTGCTTCTTCCTATCCTAATTCTGCACTCTTCTTGTCCCTTGGGCTTTAGAACCCTTTGCTTCTCCAAAAAGCAGGACGGATACTTCCATTTGCCTTACTTTTTCAGTAATTCAAACATGGTCTTGAACACTGTCCTTGTTATTATTTATCTTAGTTGTAGTTCTTATTTTTAGCCCTCCTCCCTCTTTTTCCAATGTTTTTGTGCTTCAAGCTCTTCTGGATGCTTCTTCATGATCCAATTATGTAAAAGAGGTATCCTATTTTGGACTTAAGAGGGTATTTGGAACACTTTTCTGCAACTTATAAGCAACTTTAAGCATCTTGCCCCAGTCTCCTAGTTTGGTAACATAAAAGCAGGATATTTTTTTATTGTTAAAAATGGTTTTAAGAAAATAAAAAAGAACCATTTTGTTCTTAACTTCTTAAGATTTTATAATTTTTTATTTAACCAGTTTACTTAATTACCCTCTTAATACTCTCCTAAATCTAACTAATATAATAAATATACATATTCTAATTAATTCTTTAGCAATTATCACTTTATCTTAGTATGTAACTGTTTATTTTTTAAGTAAGAACTTGCATACTTTAACTGTTTATATTTTTAAATAAGAACTTACATTCTTTGAGTAGCTTACTTTTCTGGTTTAAGCAGATTTCTTTCGGCAATCCTGAACACCCTCTCAATGTTCTCTCTCCCTTCCCCTAAGTGCTTTATCTTTTTGTCACTCGGGGTTCGTAGAAGCATAGAGAGGATAGGCTACTTAAGATATCCTGTCTTTATGCTGTGTTGCAAGCATTTTGGTTGGAGGGAAATGCTAGGATCTTCAAAGATGAACTTTTACCCCCTTAACTGTTCTTGGATTAGATGACCTTTTTGGTGTCTCTTCTCACTAATGCCCTTGGACATTATAAGGATACCTCTTTGGCTTTCTGCAGAGAGATTGGGCAGGGGTTCTATATTGATTTTTGTTTTTCTCTCTTTTCTTCAGTTTGGAGGATTGTTATTCGCTTCTAATTTTCTGTTTCCTCTCTGATAATACTTATTTTGTTATCCCATGAAAAGAAAGATGTTTATTTTGTTATACTTATTTTCTCTCTGGTAATTACTTATTTCGCTTCTAATTTTGGTAATACTTATTTCGAAGGATTCTTTATTTTGCTATTTTGGACTAGATGTTGGTTGCAGTGTTAGTAATACTTATCTTTAGACATTTTGTTTAATGTTGTGTTTAATGCAAGTTTATATGTAGCAGGGTTTCATTTGCTGATCCTGTTGCTGTGAGGCATTCTTTGGAAATTATCTCTGAGTTGGCCACAAGGGACCCATATGCAGTTGCAATGGCAATAGGTGACTTGCTTGCACACTGAACAATATATATCTTTTTTAAGTTATAAATATCTACTGATGACTCGCCTTTGTCATCTTGATGCAGGAAAGCTTATTCTCCCTGGAGGTATTCTTCCCCATCTTTGTTCTCCTCTCTGTCATTTTTTTGTCTATTTGATACCAATTAATCCAATGTCCAGGCACTTCTGTTGATTGGCATTCTCTTGTCTGATGATAGTGAAGTGGACTGTAGACTTTAGGATATGTTATCTAGCCTTTGGTTTCTCCTGACCTTCACCTTTTTGTTCTTTGAAGTAGGAATTAGGTCAAGGTCTAGGCGCACAAACTTGGAAGGGTATTTGGTATTGATGTGCTGTCCGATTCCTTCCTTCGTACTTTGCTTTCTTCTTCATACAAGGGTACTATATTGTTCTTTAGAAGACAAGGATACCATCTGTTTCTTTTTGGACTCTCTTCATCTCTTAATAATGTCTTTTTTCAGTAGACTTTCTCTGTTAACATATCTCCTTTCCTTATGAAACAAAGGGATTAATCATTTAGTACTCTCTATTTGATTCAATGTTTAGAAAGTAATGTCAAGACTCAGATCTCCAGTCAGTATGTCCTGATTTTACTTTTCTTTGTTGGTATAGGATGGTGTTCTTCACCTCCCTATGAGGTAAAGAACATGGGTTGTAAAGGATATACCTATATCTAGTTTGCAAGAGAGTTGGGAGGTCCTTTTAGTGTCATTTCTCCCCAGTTGTATTTTTTGGTTTTGTTCTTTGTTTCTTTTCCCTAAGATGATTCTTCATCCTTCTGCCATGCATTTGTCTCTTTCTTATGATAATCTTGTCATGTGCTTATCAAAAAGTTTCTAATTTAGAATTAATTTTAATGTCGAGTAGTCCATGTTATTGAAAATATATTTTCCTCTTCTATGATGGTAGAAAATAATGTTGCACTGATTGAAATGGTTTTGTTTAAATGATGCAGGCGCTTTGCAAGATGTTCTCCATTTACATGATGTACTTGCTAGAGTCTCACTGGCCAGGTTATGCCATACAATATCTAGAGCTCGAGCTTTAGATGGTAAATAACATTTTTCTAGCACTACTAGTTCTTGGAATCCATAGAATGAATGAGATGACTGGTTTCTCAATTGCTTTTGTGCAGAGAGGCCTGATATTAAATCTCAGTTCAACTCAGTTCTCTATCAACTGCTCCTTGATCCCAGTGAACGAGTCTGCTTTGAGGCAATCTTATGCATACTGGGAAAATATGACAACAGCGAGAGGTATATGTTCTTAATGCGAGATGATTTGCTTACTACACATTTAATAGCTTCCAAGATGTAGTTATCCAATTTAAATGTTGCAGGATGGAAGAACGGGCTGCTGGATGGTACCGTTTGACCAGGGAGATTCTTAAGTTGCCGGAAGCCCCATCTGTGTCATCAAAGGGTTCTAGTGCTGAATCAAGCGATGGACATCCAGCGAAGGGTTCCAAAGACAAATCCCAAAAGACAAGGCGTCCGCAAGCCCTTATTAAACTTGTAATGAGAAGGTTGATGAAGCTCTTTTTTGTCGACCCTCCATAACCAGAAGTTTGCTTGACAGTTGTTTGTAACTGCTGTTCAAATTAGCATTTCTTCAGCATTAATTCTATTTTTTTTTTTTTTGGATTCAGATTGGAGAGTTCGTTTCGTAGTTTCTCTAGACCTGTACTTCATGCAGCAGCAAGAGTCGTACAGGAGATGGGAAAAAGCCGGGCTGCAGCATTTGCTTTAGGTTTACAAGATATTGATGAAGGAGCTCATGTAAATACAGTTTCAGACTCTTTAGACTCCCTTGATTCAGAGGCTGACAACTCTCACCCTGAAGGTTTAGTTGTTTTCCTACATCTCCATTTGCAGTTTTTATTGGTCCAGATTTTTGTTTCTCAATTATTTAATTCACGTGCTATAGGCTTCATTTGGTAGCTTTATGTGAAAAAACTTATTCTTAAGAGAACTTAAACTAGTTATTGTGATTTAGTTTTGCTGTTATAAGAAGTAATTGGTGTTCGATAATTTATTTTTTTAGAAATATTATTGCGATTGATGTAGAACAAGTTAGGGCTTAATTTGCTGACTTAAGGATTTGAGGATACAAATTTTGACATCTCATATAGGGTTTCTTAGATATCACATTAATAAGTCTTAAACATCATATTTAAGGGTTTGATTGTATATACAATCAGAAAATTGAGAAACTCTCTAAGTGTTATATTGGATAATTGATGATGATCTCGAGGAGATTAGAAAGATATTTTATGAAGTGTTAAATGGAGATTAGAAAGGTCTTTATGAAATGTTAAATAATTCTTTCCCGAATAGAATTAGATTAGCAAATAAAACTAATAAGATTAGGAATGCTACTCCTAGTAAGATGAAAAATACTAATACGAATAAGATGATGAATAGTATTACTAATATACCACGCTCTATCTCCAGATATGTGTGTCGTGATTTAAGAAGTGTAAATCTCATTCCTATTTACACCTCCATTGTGAGAAGCAGGGAAAATATGGACTAGATTGCTTAACATGTTTGGAATTGTTCAGGTCATTCCACCCACAGTTAAGATCTGCCTATTACCCTATACTTTATATTTGAAAAAAAAAATGATCTGCCTATACATACCCATAAAGGGCAATGTGGTAAGGAAGCAAAAAATTGTGGAGAGGGGCCATTTTCTCTGGTTTATGGACATTATGAGCTTGTGAGGAGCCAAGAACCTTCAATGACAGACATACATCTTCTCATGAGCTATGAAAGAGAATGATTTTCTTGGCGACCTTATGGGTCAAAGAACATAAATACTTCTCGAGATAGCAATTTCTGATCTCCATCGAAATTGAGAGAATATCATCTTTTCCGATTAACTGGTCATGCATTTTGTCATTTAATATTGTGTTAATGTTTTCTTTTGTTTGTTATCTCAGAAAAAATATTTTCTTTTTTTTCATTAGGAGGATGTCTTATTTTCCCCTTTGTATAGTTTCCCCCTTTTGTTAATGATTTTTTTTCTATCTAAAAAATATTGTTAATAAAAATAGGAAAACTAAATATTAATAAGAATAAAATCCTAACATTACTAAATCTATAATAATAGACTCCTAAACAATATATTAATTTTATATTTAACAGAATTATAATTTGTAATCTATTTAAGCAATTTAAAATGAATCTACTTTGCAATTATCTACCTTGGTTGGAGAAAACTTGACCACGAATTTTTAAAGTGTCAAATGATATAAAACATTGATCTTTGAGCTTCCTTATAAAATTTTAACAAACTATGCTCGATCTTGCTTCAAGAAACTAGGCAATTCAAGGGTTAGTTATTTGATCTTGCTCTGCTTTTCTCATTTCTCTACCTTATTTTAACCAGGCATCCGGAGGACCACATCTGTGTCTAATGGTACTGGCGGCAAGGATACAATTGCAGGTCTGTTAGCTTCGCTAATGGAAGTAGTTCGAACAACCGTTGCATGTGAGTGTGTCTATGTCCGAGCGATGGTAATCAAGGCACTGATATGGATGCAAAGTCCACATGAATCATTGGATGAATTAAAATCCATTATTGCTTCAGAGCTTTCTGATCCAGCTTGGCCAGCAACTTTATTGAATGATATTTTGCTCACTTTACATGCTCGTTTTAAGGTGTGTAATGGTTATAAGAAAACTTTGGATGTGGTATTTGGATTATAACATGTCTGATAAAATAGAACAGGGAGGTGATAATATGCTTCCTTTATTCTGGAAACTGTGATTAAGGATCCAATATGAGTTTGGTCTTCATTCAGAGTATGAATGGAGGCAACTGATAAGAGATTGGCAGTCCTTGTACCCTGTTTGTAGTGTTCTTTGATGTAACTTTTTTTTATAGTGCAACCTTTTTCTTTGTTTAACTGGTATTACAGGCTTCTCCAGACATGGCTGTCACCCTTCTTGAAATTGCAAGAATATTTGCTACTAAAGTTCCTGGGAAAATTGATGCTGATGTGTTACAACTACTATGGAAGGTATGCTCTTTAGCAGTCCTTGTACACATTGATTCTTTTTAATTCATTGCCTCCAAGTTTTAACTTCTTCCATTATGTTTTTTATTGGTTCTTTCTGTGTGTGATTGCCTTTTCTATTTTACTTTCTTTCGCTCTGCTGAATTACTTCAACATGTATGGTTTTTGTCTCTGCATTTATTTGTTCATTACTGGTTGTAGAAGTGTTTGACAATGGAATTGTGAAACACGCATATGCTACTGTTTGCTGACTAATGCTTTTGATGTTAGGCAATGTGTATCATTAAGTAATATACACTTCATAAGTTTTTCAAAATATTATAATTTGACATAGTTGGCTAATCAACTTCTAGACATGTCTTGTTGGAGCTGGTCCTGATGGCAAACACACAGCTTTGGAAGCAGTGACTATTGTTCTTGACCTACCACCGCCTCAACCTGGGTCAATGTCGGCACTTACATCCATAGATCGAGTTGCTGCATCTGATCCAAAGTCAGCTCTGGCATTAGAGAAATTAGTGCAAGCTGCAGTAAGAAATTTCTTGTAAATTCTGCCTTTTAGTGTTCTTCAGTTATGAATTTTTCTTTCCGAAGATTAGACTGAAGGTTACATGGAGTTGATCTTTCATTGCAGGTGTGGTTCCTTGGAGAAAATGCAAATTATGCTGCCTCAGAATATGCATGGGAATCAGCAACCCCACCAGGTACTGCATTAATGATGTTGGATGCAGATAAAATGGTTGCTGCTGCCAGTTCCCGTAACCCCACTCTAGCGGGTGCATTGACTCGACTCCAAAGGTGTGCATTTAGTGGCAGTTGGGAGGTACAAAATCTATCTTCATGGTGGCTTCGTCATTATATTTTGTTACTGCATTTGGGATGATGTTAAGTTACACATCTAGCATGTCTTCTACCTTTGTGGAGCTGACTTGTTGATAACAAGGATGAGGTTACAATGGGTGTAGTAGGAGCAGTGCCTCTCATGCAATTTACAAAATATTCATGATATATAGAGATCTTTAGTAATTTGTATTTTCCTTCCATAAAATTTTAGGAAAAAATGCAGACACTATTAGAGCTCCATGATATTTGGCTATCATGAAAGGACAAAAAAAGGAAACAGTTAGAGGATTATGTCTAATAGATAATCTAGAAATGTGAAGGAGAAGAGATGCAAGTTGGTGTATCCCCCACACACACATCTTCCCAAAGGTAAAAACAAGACCCATCCCCCTCCTTGGCCTGCACAAGTGGGTGAAATAAAACAAGCGCCTAACTAATTGCTTTCCAAGGGCTTCTTTGGGAAATGGAAGAATATGCTTCAGTCTCCCAACTTTTCTCATGCAAGCCAACTGGCTTCTTATCATCCTGTGCCACAAAGAATCAAGTTCATGTGGGAAATGTTTTAACAATTTGGCTAGAATGGAAATGTTTTCCAACCCCAACTTAGGCATTTATTTATGTCTGTTTCCTTATAACCTTCTTCTTGAGGCAAAATCGTCAAACAAACAACCTTTTATCTGAGTGTTTACATAAAAAAAAAACTTAAGACAGAGTGATACACATGCATAGGTTTGAAGTGTTTCGCAAGTGTGTGAGCTTAAATGTGTCTTCACCAGCTTCAGGCAATATATCTGCCACAGGTCTGCTCAGTGCATGGTATCTTACCCCTACCAATTTCCTATGCATAAATCCATGCACCATTTTTATTGTTTTTTGCTGCTTATTTCTGCTGTTCTCTGGTAGCCTTGACATCTTATATAGTGAGTTTATGGTTATAGTAATTTGTTTGTGGAGATCTGTATTCTATTTATTGAAGCTATGGCGGTCGTTTCATTCTGCTCAATTTCTACTGCAGTAATTCAAGTAGGAAGGTTGAAGCAAGGAGAAGGGAAGTATTGGTGATGGATATAGTAAGGACTATTTTTGTTCATTGAAGCTATGATCTACTTACCCTAGATTTCTTAAGTGCAGTTCTGGGTTTAGGAGCTTGCACTGGAGATATTATGAACACTTGAGTTGGTTAAACTATGTAAGGTTAGTTGTTACTAGGAAAAAAGAAAGAGAAAAAAAGATATGAAGCAGTTGAAAAAAAACTGTGATAAGTTGTGAACCATTAGAACTTTTTTGGTCAAGAAGATGACTGTTAACCCTTAGAGCATTGCTTGAGTTTTTGTTGTGAGCCTTAGAGCTTTACTTGAGTGAGTGAAGCTTTGTTGTCTAACAAGAGGCTCTTTGCCTCACCCAAAACAATTTGCTACCTGAGGCTCAAGATTGTTGTTATGGAAGGATATTTCATTAAAAAAAAAAGATTGTTCCTGTGGAAAGGTTACTGTTCTTGTTCATGGTACATGGTACCAACAAGTAACAAGTTGATAATTTGATATTCATGGTTCACGGAACTCTTCATTTGGGGTTGCTAGCAATTTGTGGAACTTGCCAATTTGCAATTGCTTTTGTTTAGTTTATTTTCTTTACTTATTGGGAGCATTAGAGAATTAAGAATATTTTATATATAGTATATTAGAGAAGAGTGGAGTTTTTCCTATAGTCCTTCGCTATATATCCATATTTCTTTGGAAGTGAATTCACTATATTGTCTTAGCTAAGTAGGTATTGTTCTTAGCTCTTATGTTTCTTACACAAAATATCTGGTGCAATATCATAATAATATTTCAGTTTATTCTTCTAGCAATAACCTGTCCTGCTCTTAATTCTATGGTTGCTCAGGTACGCATAGTCGCTGTTCAAGCTCTTACAACAATGGCAATCAGGTCTGGCGAGCCTTTTAGGCTACAGATCTATGAATTCTTACATGCCTTAGCACAGGGTGGCGTGCAGTCTCAATTATCAGAAATGCATCTCAGCAACGGAGAAGATCAAGGTGCTAGTGGTACAGGGCTTGGAGTCTTAATAACTCCCATGTTGAAGGTTCTTGATGAAATGTATGCAGCCCAAGATGACCTGATCAAGTAAGAAATGAAACTTTCCTGCTCTCTCTTCAAAAAGTCACTCCACAAGCATCTGAGCAAAATTTTTCATATTGACAACTATCAGGGAAATACGCAACCATGATAATGCAAAAAAAGAATGGACAGATGAAGAGCTTAAGAAACTCTATGAAACACATGAGAGATTGCTAGATCTGGTCTCCCTCTTTTGTTTTGTTCCAAGAGCAAAATATTTACCTCTAGGGCCAATAAGGTAAAGACGTTTTCTAGTTTCTCGTTATCATATGGATCTACTTCACATTGAAAAGAATAAAAACTGAGATTGTTGATCTTTGTTCAGAAGAAGACATTCTGGAAAAGGATATAGTATTACTTTAATATAGTTAATGCATAAACATGCCCCTGTGCACATGTCAAATATGACTTTCTCTCAAGCTTCAAAGACTTGTACCATATAATGATTCTTCAAATTCCAAAAATGATGACGAGATGGCTTGGTGCATCACAAATTTCATTGCTTCTATCATATTAGAATTTTTTCATAAAAGGGTTTCATCAACTGTCTACATATTTTCCAGCATCCCTTCTCAAAAGCATTTTATCATTTACAGTTTGTGGATAACAAAGTGATTTGCAAATCCCCATTATGATTCACTTTCCATCATATACTTTTGGTCAAAGCCACTTGGGGCTGAATGGTTTTGATGAGTAAAGTATCTGAAAATTTTGTGGGATGGAAGATAACGCAGGAGTTTGATTCTGCATTAAATGTTTTTTATGAGTATGCTTCTGAGATGCCTCCTATCTTGCTGTCTGTTGTTCGTTGTTTAATGTTTAAGTTTGCTGTGTTTTAATTTTTTTGGTTTTTGGTTTTAGAATTCACATATCTGATCTTTGTTTTTTCTTTGTTTTCCCTCTTAAAATCTCATGAAGTGCAAAGCTTATTGATATCTACCGCACACGGCACAACATCAGTGCATCTTCTGGTTTGAGTGATCCAGCTGTTGCCACTGGAATTTCTGAACTTATTTATGAATCTAAACCTGCCCCTGCTGAGTCTGATACACTGGATGATGACCTAGTAAACGCTTGGGCTGCAAGCCTTGCTGATGATGGCTTGCTGGGAAGCAATGCACCAGCAATGAGTCGGGTAAAAATTTGCTTTTCCTGATTTGAAATGTCAAATATTCTCTCGGCTATTATAATTTAGAAAATAAACCATGAAACTTTGTGCTAGTTAAGTTTTTAAAGCATGAACTGTTATAGTTAATACCTGTGCGGGTTAATACAGGCTTGAATGTACCTACCACTGCAATAGCAATACAGTACATTTTAAATTCCTACAAGAGAGAATAGTGGTCAAAATTAGGTAAATCAGTCATGACTGATCAATATAGGTGGTACAATCAGTACCACTACAAATATTTTTCAAATCAATATTTGAAATAAATCCAGAAATATTGCGGAATTCATTTGTAAATTCGTGCATGGTTTAGTTAGGAGCGTAAAGAATTAGGGAAGAAGAATACTATATATTTCTTATATTTCATTCCATAGGTTTAAGGATATATATATATAGAAGAGAGATCTATATATGAAAACATAAATCACCTTATTAATGCTAGGAAATCAACTAATAATTACATAATAATATTTCGTAATATATTTTGTAATATTCTAACATTCCCCCTCAAATTGAAGTATAAATATTAATCATGTCTAACTTGTTACGAAGATATTCAATTCGGATTCCATTCAAAACCTTTGTAAATATATTATCTAGTTGTTTCTCTGTTTCCACATAAGTAGTAGAAATAAAGTTTTTCTGAATCTTTTCACAAATGAAGTGTCAATCAATCTCAATATGTTTGGTTCTTTCATGATATATCGGATTTGAGAAAATATGAAGAGCAACTTGATTATCACACTAGAGTTTTGCAGGTAGTATGAGATTCAAACCCACTTCCGCTAAGAGGTGTTGTATCCATAAGACTTCACATGTGCACTGGGGCATAATTCTGTATTCGGACTCTGCACTGAATCGGAACACAGTGGTCTGCTTCTTACTCCATGATATTAGATTTCCACCAACGAAAACGCAATAACCTATAGTAGATCTTCTATCAAGTTTAGATCTCGTCCAATCAACATCTGCAAAACATTCAATGTGAGTGTGCTCATGATTGCTAAACAATATAAAAGTCCTGAAACACCTTTTAAGTAGCACAAGATCTGTTCCAAACTTTCCTAATGTTTGACTATAGGTGCATGCATAAATTGACTAACAATACTGACAAGATATGCAATATCTGGACAAGTCACTGTGAGATAATTTAGTTTCCCAACTAATCATCTGTACCTTTTTGGATCATCAAGGGGGTCGCTATCATCTTTAGTAAGGTGTAATGTTGGTACCATTGGTGTGTTACATGGTTCATCTCCCAACTTTCCAGTTTCTGCAAGTAGATCAATTACATATTTTTTTTGAGATAAGAAAATTTCTTTCTTGTTTCTTGTTATTTTTACTCCTAAAAAGTATTTTAACTGACCCAAGTCTTTGATATGAAACTTGGTATGTAAGAATGATTTGAGGAAAGATATTTCTGCACAATCATCTCGCGTAATGACAATATTATCAACATAGATAATAAAAAGTAAAAGACCAGTTGCTGATTGTCTATAAAAGATCGAGTGATCACATTTGCTATTGTTCAGCTTAAATTTCAGAGCTATTTCACTAAATTTGCCAAAACACGCACGAGAACTCTGCTTCAAATGACAGATTTTTCCGTATTCCCCCTGAGCAACAAATCCAATTAGTTGCTTCATATATACTTATTCCCAGAGATCACCATGAAGTGATATATTCTTGATATCCAACTGGTGTGAGGGTCAATTTAGAGATGCCGCAATAGAGATGAATAAACGAACATATGTAAGCTTGGCCATTGAAGAGAAGATGTCAGAATAATCAACTCCATAAGTCTGAACATAATCTTTTGCTACAAGTTTGACTTTAAGTCTTGCTATTGAACTATTTGGGTGTACTTTGACTGAAAATACCCATTTGCATCCCATGACCTTTTTTTCTTTGAGTAAATCCATCAAATCCCAAGAATGATTTTCATCGAGAGTATTTATCTCTTCAAATATCGCATTATGCCAGACAAGATTATTCAAACCTTCCTTAATTGTTTTGGGTATAGAAATCGAATCTATCAAAGCAATGCACGAGCTAGATTGAAGGAGACGGATGATCATATGAAGTAAAATTAACGATGAGATGAGTTGTCTTAGAAATGATGCACTGACGTTCACCTTTATGAAGACCAATGAGAAGATTGAGGTCCTATGAGACAGAATTATAAGACAACGGATCTGGTGCAGTCTGTTGTTTTTTGAAATAAATATGAACAATTGGTGGTAGTATTTGGGTCAGAGGCACACTAACACTATCATCAACTTGCTCAAGTAGGGCTGGAGGTACACCATCTGGAAAAATATTATTATCTGTTTGCTCAGTGAAGACTCCTGGTGTGAAACTATAGATGAGCCACTCATTGTTCGCCCCCTGACTTATAAACTTTGACAATGAGAAGAAAAACAGTGTATTCTCTGAAAATATCACATAAGTTGATACTGAGTATTTATTGAAATGTGGAGAGTAGCACCAATGTCCTTTCTGAAGGTGAGAATATTCCAAAAATACACATTTCAAGACTTTTGAGTTCGATTTTGTCACATAAGGTCGCATATTTCAAACATAACAGGTGCTACCAAATATCTTAGGTTGCACTGGAAATAAAGACTTGTTTAGAAATATAAATTGTAAGGAACATCTCCATCAAGTACTGTAAATGACATACGATTAATAAAAAAACAGACTGTGGAAATAGCATTAGTCCATAATTGCTTAAGGACTTGCATTTGGAACAAAAGAGTTTGAGCTGTCTCAAGTAAATGTCTGTTCTTACTTTCAACAACTCCATTTTGAGATGGTGTATGTACACACAAGAATTGGTGAAGTATCTCGTGTTGAATCATATAGTTCTGAAATGAATCTGACATACATTTTTTGGCATTATACTTCTCAATACATGTATAGAAACATTAAATTGTGTATTGATTTCAACACAAGAAGTATAAAAGTGAAAAAATACTTCAGAATGATTTTTCATAAAATATATCTAAGTCATTCGAGAGAAATCATCCGCAAAGGTAAAAAATACTTAAAATATGTTTTAGATGGAACAGGATAGAGGCCCCAAACATCATAATAACTAACTCAAAAGCAGACTTAGCTCGTTTATTAACCTTTGGACCTGATGGACTACGGTGATGTTTTGCAAACCGATATGATTCGCAATATAGTAAAGGTATATCATAAAACTGAGGACATAACTTCTTCAACACAGGTAGAGAAATATGTCCTAATTGACAATGTCCTTTAAATGAAGAGATAACACTAGAGCAGACAACCGATCGAGGCACCTAAATATCAAGAATGTAAGAGACCATATGATATATTTCCTTTACCAATAATCTATTTTATCGTAAGATTTTGAAGAATATAGTGATCAGAAAAAAATGTAATACAACAATTCAAATATTTAGTCAGCTTACTCACAGAAATCAAATTGAAGGCAAGTTTAGATAAACTTAATATAGATGACAGAGTTATAAATGAAGTTGGTTTTGTGGTCCCAGAACTCACAATATTATAGGTCGATCCATTAGCAATGGTTAATAGGAAAATGTGTTTTGTGTGGTCGAAAATTAGAAAAAATATTAGGATTACTTTTTATATGATCTGTAACACCAGAATCAATTACCTATCTGTTCGATTGAGGAGATAAGAAATTTTTTATCTGATTCAGTAAGAGTAGAAAATTTATTTAAAGATTCTTGATACTGAGTGAATTTAGCA